CTGGAAGCAGCATGGCCAATACTAGCTTAGATAAGCAATTGCAGACAAAGTCCTACTTTCTCCCAGGTTGAATTATATTCACTACAAAATGAATCCTTGTAAAAATTAGCTGCAAAGCTCTAGAAATTCTCTAATAAGCATGTGTAAACTATAGCATATTATTTGAGTAGATTTTCAGGGGAACAGCAAAATGCATGTCTTAGACACCAAAGCTTCCCTCTCCTCCCTTCCTCTCTCCCCCATGTCAAATTTCAAAGCATGAAAGTTGCAGAACTTCAAGGTCACCAGAATGTTTTACCCTGAGAAAAACACTATATTTCTCTGGAGCCTCACTCTCAGAAGCCACCAGATCATTTTGGATGAAATTAAAATAAAAAGCCAGCCTGAGGCAGACACCTAACGTGGAATATTTAAGCCCAGATGCTTAATGTTTGTCAAAACGATAAGCAACTAGAAACAGAGTCCTACAATGGGGAACATTAGGCAACCTTAGTAATAGGCAGATCTACCAAGCTTCACCTCCAATAATAAATTCTCGTTTCAGCTAGGGATGTGAAAGGTTAAGTGAGTAATTGTTTAACTGATAACTGCAGTGATAACAGGTTAGCTTACCAGTTATCCTTTAGCTGGGGGCGGGTGCAGTCTGGCAGGGAAGAGGGGAAGGGAAGCAGGGGGGTGCCCCAGCAGGACTCAGAAGGCAGCAGGGCAGGTAGGAGGGGGGAGCAAGGAGGAGGGAAGAGGGTAGGGAACAAGTACCACAGCCTAAGAGGAAAACAGGGAGCAGTCTAATGACCAGGGATCCTGATTTTCCCAGATTAAAAAATAGATAAATAAATAAATAAAAATCACAAATTCTCTGATAAAACCCCCCAAATCCATGATTAAAATGAAAGGCCCCTCAGTTCCTGTCCACCATCCACCCCCCAGCCCCCTGGCCTTTCTGGTGCCACTCATTCCCCCACACACACAGCTTCTGGCATTGCTGGTGCCCCTCCCCACCCACAGCCCTCTGGCTCTGCTCATGCCCCTCACTCCCCCCTGCCTCACCTCAGCCCTCCTGGAGGGGGCCCCCAGCTATGTGGCCAGGGACCTGGATCCATAGCCCCCTGCCCCCAGCAGGAGGCAGCGGCTGCTGCAGTAGAGTGGAGCCCACGTCTTCCCCACCCCTGCTGCCTGCCTGCTGAAAGCTTAGGTAGGGGGGCTGGCTTCCTGCCATTCTCTGCACACCCGGGAGGGGGCAGGGGGAACCCATGCCCCCAAATCTGTGCATGGGGCGGGCGAAGGCTGCCCACTGTGGTCTCAGGCTCCCACCCTGCTGCCCTCGACCGGGGCCTTTGCAGCCCAGTGGATGCAGCCCAGCATTGCAAGTTGCTTGCCACATTTCCATGCTTCCCTGGCAATGCAATGAGGGACACAACCCCACACTGCTGCCACGCACGCAGGGGAAGCATCACCAGGGCAGTGCAGAGTTCGCAGTGGTAAGCAGCTTTCTTGCACAGCCCCGCTGTGTCCTGCAGCAGTGGATTGCACCTGCTGGGCCACAGAGGCCCGGGGGGAGGACAGCAGGGTGGGAACCCAAACCCACAATGGGCAGCCTTCCCCCGCCCCATGCACAGATCTGGGGGGCATGGGTCCCCCCTGCCTCCCAGGAATGCACACAGGGGTTGGGAGCTAGTCCCACCCCTTGCCCCTGGATGAGCCACCCACAGCCCCATCCTGCTCCCCACTGGGACCCTGTGGACACACCCCGAGCCCCACACACTGCCTGGCTGAGTGGCAGCCCCAGCCCCAACCCAGCTCTGCCCAACTCCCTCCCTCCATTCCCCTCCCCACCCCACTTATCTGTGGGAGATGCACCTCAGGCTGCCTGGCAGCCATGTGCCTGTATGAGTGCACACATTCACATGGTGCCCCCTGCCTGACTGCCCTCCTCCCGCTCTCTCCCAGCCTCTTGTAGGCTGGAATTCTGCCAGCCTGCAGAGAGCTCTTTGCAAAACTGCAAACTCCATGGTTTTCTCCACCAAAATGGGAAATCTGCAGTTTCTTCCGGCAAAGGGGAAAATCCCCCCTTTACTTTCTCAGCAATAAATAAATATCCATCACACCCATCACAGCATATAAACAGCACTGAGCCAGAGCACAGCTGCAGTCCTGATATCCCCTGGTCACTAAAAGCTGAGTCTTTCATCCTAAATCCAGCTGTCAAATGATCTAGATGTAACCCTTCTGCCAGGCACTGGAAGGTAGTAGTAAGGGCCAGGTTCAAATTGAGGGGTTTAACATAAACTTCTGAAATCTGGCTTGAGCCCCCACCCAGAAACCTGGTAAAATAAATTTTAACTGGATGTTCTAACATGAACAGACTTTTTCTCACTCTCAAGCACTGTTGAACCAAGACCAGGCTTATTACAAAAGAGAAAGGGAACAAACATACAACCTTAAATAAACTTAACTATTAAACATTAGCTGAAACCAAAACCAGTTAACAGTCTCAGTTACTGGCAAACCAATCCAAGTAAGCTACCATGTAGCCCACTCAGTTGGGAAGGAAGATGCACTCAGAGCTGCCATCCTGGGATTCTAACATCCACAGCAGCCAACAGTAGTAGGTGTTGAGCAGGGAGGTCCACCCTACAGGGCCCGGCTGCTCCTTCTTACCAAAGGGGCCCTACCACCTATGCCAGGCAAAGTAGCAAGTGATGAGTAGGGAGGCACTCACTTGAGCTGCTGCTGCTGCTGCTCTGCTGCTGGCGATGGGCACTACCACTAAGGGTTTCCACTAATTGTCTTCAGGTTATCTGTGCAATTTTTTCTCTTTCAGACCCTGATGTACTTCAAAAGCAGATGGTGGGATTTTTAGCTATTTTTTATTTTTAGCTCTTAGCTTCCACCTGAACCCACTATAGATACTTTTGCTCATACTTTCCCTTTGAGGAACTGATGAGCCCCAAGGCCACCCAGGAAATAGCTACTGTCCAAACATTCTTTCACTCCTCACACACAAGACAGACTGCTAAACCTGAGGGCCACCCCACTGCAGACCTCTGCACAGCTCCCAGGGAGTGCTGACCTTTCAGCGACATTTGCATAACTTCACAGTTTTGGAAGGGAGGGGCAATAGACAGACAATCTGATTCAGATGCCCATTACAATTGCACACTTTAACCTCAAACAATAAAACCCAGGCCCACAAACAGTAAAAACAGGTATATTATTCAGAGCAGGCAGACAAAACATGCTGTTAACCTTATAGAAACTAACCATAGCAGTATATATTAACAATGAGACTGCAAGAGTTGAGGAGATATAAATGTGTCCTTACAAAGCGAGCCAGCCATTTAGGAGACTGTAGCAGGGGCCCAGCCCAGCCCCGCACTCACTGGGACAAAACTGCTGGGACACTTTATGATCCATGAAGTCCCGGGCCACCCCAGCGCCCAGTGATAAGCCCACGGCAAGCAGCATGCTCCCCCACATGTTTCCCCCTTGATTGGGCAGGGAAGTGGCAGGTAATGTGCTCTCCACATGCCCGTCCCCGAGGCAGAGCTGGGAGCAGGAATCTGGGCTCCACCTGGTTCCAGAGCCCCACTGAGGCCAGGAGTAAGCAGCCAGCATGCCTGGCACTGCCTAGAACTGGAAGGCTGCAGCTGCAGCCAGTGATCAAAACTGCAGGGGCTCTCAGCACCTGGTCACAGCCGCAGGGCACATGGGGTCAGGCAGGGGTCTGGGTTGGCTCTGGCCAACTTGGAACTTCCCTCTTAAGGCAGCTTTGGCTTATGATTTTGTCTCTGTAGTGGAACCTGGGCTAAGGGCCTCACTCTCAACAGGTGTTTTCTCCCGTTTTTATATCCTGCCTGCCGTGACTTGGTGTTAAATGAAAAGGATGTCAGGAGGTGGTACCTCACCATTAGTGGGGGCTCGTTGAAGAAGGCGCAGTGTCTGGACATCGTCTGTGGGGCTCCGCCACCCCTATACCCAACCCCTTTCCACTTTGGTGTTTTCATACTCTGCTCGGGGTATGCAGCTGGTGCCCTAGGTGCCTGCCTTCCCATAGTGGAAGAAAAGGTTGGCTTGAAAAGAAACACAGAAGTCTGGGGCCAACATGTGACCTTGGTGAGTGTCTGCCTCCAGTGACACTCGTCCCAAGGAAAAGGAGGTGCTGGTGTAGGCAGCAGGCCATGCTGTTTCCCTCAACAGAAGCCAGGAACACCTTGCTTGCAACCAGCCAGGCACTGGCTCTGAAGGCAGGAACTGGACTGCTCTGTGAACACTGGAGATCAGGTACTGGTAAGGGCCTCACAGACCTTTATAGTGTCTGTGGCCCCATCTACCTACAGGAGTGGGTTTCGTACCTTATGAATCAGGCTCAGGACTATAGAGTATACCCCGAAGAGGATAGCCACCCAAGAAAAAGGCAGATTTAAACTATAAGGCTGAAGCGCAGCCCACAAACAGACAGTGGACACCCTTATTTATGTATTTCTTTATTAATGCTGATGTGACACAGACATCACTGGTGGCAGACATTCACCAAGATCACATGTTGGCCCCAGACTTCTGTGTTTCTTTTCAAGCCAACCTTTTCTTCCATTATGGGAAGGCAGGCACCTAGGGCACCAGCCGCGTACCCCGAGCAGAGCATGAAAACACCCAAGTGGAAAGGGGTTGGGTATAGGGGAGGCAGAGCCCCGCAGACAATGTCCAGACACTGCGCCTTCTTCGACGAGCCCCCACTAATGGTGAGGTACCATCTCCTGATATCCTTTTCATTTAACACCAAGTCATGGCAGGCAGGATATAAAAACGGGAGAAAACACCTGTTGAGAATGAGGCCCTTAGCCCAGGTCCCACTACAGAGGCAAAATCATAAGTCAAAGCAGGAAGCATGTTCTTTGGGTCTCTATTTCATGGAAAGTCCTTCTTTGTTTTCAAATGGAAGTGTTTAATGAGTGGAAATATCTCCGATGGTAGTCTTCCCATGTTAGGTGTTTAATCTGATTGTTGTGTGACATCTTGTTTCTGTAAAATACAGAGAGACACCACAATAAAATTATAGACAAACATGACAGAGCCAGGGCATTTACTTGAATAGAAAATGAGAAGGAAGCAACTGTCTCAGCCTGGGGAGGAAATGAAGTCCTACAGACCCCAGTTACATGAAGCTGTCACTTCTACTCAAATTAATCCCAGTTTGTTTCATTAGGAATGACTAGGTCCTTCCCTCCATCTTATTTTTAAGAAATACATTCTAAATTTTATTAATGCATTCTCTTTGTGTAACCTTGTGAGCAGAAACCTTCCCAGCAGCAATCAACAACTGCACACCCAAGCGTCACACTTTTCTTTGGTGTAATTTCTGTGCTGTGGAGAACCAAACCGTTTGGTCATTAACTCATTACCAAAAGCAGGCCAATTGCTAGAAATTCAGCTCTGTGCCAGTCTCTCTCAGAAGCAGCAACTCCTGAAGCCTGCTTCCTGTTAGATGTTAAAAGCCTGAATTGAAGTGCCTGCTGTTTTTACTACATCTGTTTATATTTCATCCTCCTACGGGCTGAAAAGGCTAACAGAAAGAAAAAATGAAAGTGGAATTTTACCTTGTTAAAATAGCACTCTGGGAAGGAATTCGTTTTGTTAAAGTGGACCCAAAAGGTATCACTTTTCCCCCTACCATGCTTGTTTTCATTTGGCTCTGTTCTCTATTTATAACTCACAGTGCTGGCCTGAGCTTGGCATTCTGGAGTTATCATTGTGATTTATTATTTCTACACAACCATAGGTGGGCAAGTCACTTTCCAGATGAATCCAGGAGGGATAGTGGCCAGGTTCTGCTCTCATTAATGCTGGGCTAAAGCAGAATGGTCTCCACCAATTTCAGTAAAACTCTTCCATCACTGAATATCAGCAGCTTTACCTGCCTGGCAGAATATAGAGGGACAGGAAGCTGGTTAAAACACAGCACTTTTTAAAGTTTTAGACTCCCAGACTAGGTAGGTTATTCAAATTCTGACTCATTGATTCATAAAGCATCAGACAGCATGAATGCACTGGAATAAAGTTAGCATCAAGACTCAAATATAAATATTCCTATTTATGACTATAGCATTGTAAAGGTTGCCATGCCTCTAAAATGTTGTGTTGCATCATTTGCAGAGCATTGCTAGTCCAAAAAGATATTGGTGGAGACCGTGTTGTAGCTACTTTGCATGACTTGAGCAGTGTACTGGAATCAGACTATGTAACCTGATGGAGAAAAATCCCCAGGTCTTATAAGACCATTGTATCAGAGATTGGTGCTCCTGCTACTTTAAGAGAAGACAGACTGCACAAAAAGCAGCCTGCAGGTGTGGCAGGGGGGCACTTAGGAGCCACATGACCCAAAGGGGCTGGGCTAGCAGAATATAAACCCAGGTCTTGAGCTGAAAAGGCAGTCTAGCCCTCAGAGCTGTACAGAGAAGATCTCTACTGAGCAGCAGGGCTACTGCAAGGCTCCTGGCTGATACTGAGCTGGGGTAAACAAGACTGGTGGTTTAGGGATTGAGACTATAGGGGTGGTAAAGTCTCAGCCAGCTGGGAGCAGGGCCAAGGCCTGGGCCTGTAGGATAAGGACCAATGCCAAAGAGCAGGGCCACAGCCATGAGGGGAGAGAACCAGGGTCAGGGGCCTGTAGCCCAGGAGGGTCATGGGTCAGGGACCCATCCAAAAGAATGAAGGGCCAGGGAGCCCAGAGGTCTCAAATGGCCTAGGAGTGGGGCCGGGGCTCACAAATGGGAATTAAAGCCGAGGGTTCCACCACTGGAGACTGACAGGGTCAGGGACCCACAGACCAGGGAAGAACAGAGTCAGGGCCAGGATCCCAGCACCAGGGAGAGGTAGGAACAGGGTCAGGGCCACACCTGGGAGTAGCCAAGAGAGGCAAAGTGCCCAAATATGTCTGAAGAAGGTAGAAGCCTGAACTCAGGAGGGGCAGAGAGTGCAGGCATGAGTAAGAGTGTGATCAGTGACAACTGCAAGGCTTGGAAGTGACTATAAGGGGAGATGAGGAAGCCACATATTTAGCCCTTAAGGTGATCAGTAGGGACATGTGTACTCATGAGCATGAGATCTGGCTTGGGGAGCCCTAGTGCAGCCTCCCTTGTCAAAAAGTATAATCACAACAAGGTGTGGCAGAAAAGTTGAAGGGGAGATGGCCACAAAGAAAGCAGAGGTGACAAGGGCTAAGGGGGCTCCCAGGGGCTTTGCGGACACCCCAGGATAACCCTATTACAGCCATCCTGTAAGTCACCCATTCTTTCCTTTCTATAGAGGGATCACACTGAGATAGGGAGAAGTGGGAAGTAGCCAGAGCACACCATGTTCTGGAGGGTCTTTGGTAAGCAGAGCACACCTCCTGCTCCTGATGTAACTTAAAGTAGCCATTAAGATGCTCTATATTATGCTGGAGAATGTTTGCTTTGACCTATACCTTGTCCAGAAATAGGGGAGCAGGGTAGAAGTTAATGACTTTCCTGCCCCTCTGAGTTGTACAGAGAATGAATGCCTGAGCACTTGGCCAATGGAATATAGGGACTTAACATCTGATAATACCCACATCAATTATCAGTCCATCTCTACCATGATATTCCATGATATTTAACTTACTATTTTAGCAGAAAGAGAGAGCCTCTAGACCAAATCAATTGTGCAGTCCTTACCAGAGTAGATCTATTTCCTGACATCTACACTTTCCCTCAGCTGGCCCCCATCAGTATTGATTATAAAGAGTAAAATTGGAGCCTTTCTTCTCTCTGCTGTGCAAGTTGCTAGCAATGATTAAATTATCCTCCACTTTCTAAAAGCTCAGCTACAAGTACTTGACCTTGACCTTCCACAGCCTCAAAGTCTATGGGATGTCTATAGTGCAAAGCAATATTTCTTCTAATTCATTCTAAAAGTATTGCCTTTGGTTTCATAGTCACCCATAGTTCTTGCTTTATGGGACAGAGTCAAACAGAAGGGGCTGATCAGTTGTCGTGGTGCCCTTCAGAATCTTAAATATTTTAGCCAAATCCTTTTGAGCTGTGCTCCTTTCTAAGCTAACCAAGGCTAGATTACTGCCATTTCTGATTCAACGTAACATTTCTATCCAGCTCAGTTAATCTTCCCTAAAACCTCTCTAACCAGTCTAATGTATCTTTAAATGGAAGCGAATGAACTTGGAGGCAATGGATAGAAAAGGAGATGCAACTATTAGAAATAATGTGTTAAAATTCTAAACTGGTGCAATGCTGTTGGAATTGACAGAGTAGTCCCAGCTCACATGAAGACTGAATTTGTCCCAAAAGCATAAAACCCTGCGGTAGTCTATAGAGAATGGCATAAATTAATCTCTGAGAGGTGTTTGTCCAGAAAAGGGCTGTAATCTTTTCTCTATCCTACTCATTCGCTGTGCTGGGAGCACCATGCTGGAATACACTAGGCTGCTCTGCTCACTCCAGCTCCCAAACCAGAAGCAGCTGCTTTTGTTTGGTTCTGCTAATTATTCTTGCCTCTCTGAACTAATTAGCCACAGCACCACACTAAAGCAGCTACTATTTCAAGTTGGGGGAGATAGCCTGAGTGGAGCAATGCAATATGTTTCAGGACTGCAACACCTGACACAGTCAGTTATCAGCATAGACAAACCCTGAGGAAGACGCTGTGGTCAAGTAGCAGTTCAACAGAAAGAACTCCAGACCAGGAATCAGGTTCTGTTCCTGTTTCTGGCACTGACTCATGGTGTGAGTTGGGAAAAATTTCTTGAACATCCTTTATCCAGTTTCCCCATCTGGAAAATGAGATTGACAAAAAAAACCCAACCTATTCAGGTCAGTGAATCTGGGCTAGGTAGTTTTGCTTCGCTGTAAGCATAAAAGTGCTACAGAAGTGGTAAGCATTCAGATAACATACAGGAAGAAGGCCAAAATGAGAGCACACATCTTCATGTAGCAAGCATGCAAATTAAAGCAAAGCTACTTACTCACCCAAAATTCAGAAAGAAGGGGCCAATCATATCTAGAAATCCTGGTCTCTGTAAAGAGGGGGTTCAGTCAAAGAAATCCCCAGCCAAGGCTCAGGGCAACAAATGATACCACCCAGAATGTGTGGAAAGAGGGACCCCTCCCACCCTCTCTACTCATGTGCTGCCACCAGGAACCTCACAGGGGACTTCCATGTTGTAGAGCTTTCGGTCCTTCAGCTTGGGAAACTTGAAGTACAATGCCTTTCTTAGAGGTTGGTAATACATTTTAATGAGCTAACAAGCTTTACCTGCCCTAAGAATCAACCCATTGCTGAAAATGTTCATCAAAAATGGGCCCCTTAAAACAACTGCTGAAAACAGTTGCCTCTAGACATGTCAGCTCTTCAGTACAAAGGCTGGGATTGCAGTGCGTGCAGCCGTAACTAGGGTAACTGGAATCTGGAACATACTCCCAGCAGGGGTGGTGCTGTCCCCATCCTTGGAGGTGTTCAAGAAGAGGCTGGATAAGCACCTTTTTGAGCTCGTTTGAGCCCCAATAACCTCCTGCCCATGGCAGGGGACCAGCCTTGATGATCTTGCAGGTCCCTTCCAGTCCTTTGATTCTATGATTTTATAGGTTAGCTTCAGTCTAGTGCTAGCACAGGTGTTGATGGCAGTGAAGACAGGCTAAAAATAGGTATGTCCTGGCACAGCTGATACATTTCACTGGATGAAACGCACACCACCTGTTTATGCTTTCAGAAAATGTGTGATGTGTTTTCCTGGGGCTTGAGGGTCCTGATCCTCCATATCCTGGGAATTTCCACACACAATCAGGCCCTCAAGCCCTGGGAATGCCATCCCCGCTTTCCCTGCTTACCAAGACATGTCCCCAGAATTTCCTGGAATGTGCAGAATTGGGCCCCTCAAGCCCCCAAGCCCTTGCCTGGGCCAGCTGGAAAGCATAAGCAGCTTGGGGCTGGCTGCACTCTATCCATAAAGCAAATAGATATCCACTGTAATAAAGCAGCACAAATTATTACTACTTTCCATTGTGGTCACAAATTCCAGCATTGTGGCATGACAGAAGTTACAGACATCTATTTGCTTTTGTTCTATGCCACTATAAATTTATGGTGGCACAAAGGCCAGGAAAGGTGATGTCTGTTTGGATTTCAGGTTAACAACAGCAGTATGGATTTGGGGTTAACAACATGCATGCATTGCTAGGGTTCCTGGCAGGCTTGCTTTTGGGCTTTTAGCTAGCACTGAAGTCTATGCTCTCACAAAGGGACAGATCCAGGTGGGATGTAGAAGGTGTGGCTGCACCTTCCCTATCTCCCACCTCCCCCCAGATCTTCCAATGCCCCCACATCTTCCCAGATACTGTTACAGCTAACTACATGGTCTACCCATGCCACAAACACACCTTCATTTTGCTGCACCTGCATACTCCAAGTCTCAGGCATGCATCTTGCTCTTATAACGCTGTTGGAAAATGGTTTTGTCCTAACTGCACTAGCAGTTCAACTGTTCTCTTCCCTGGTTCAGGACAAGCTTTGTCACCAACAGGTCAGGTTCCAGTGTGGTTGGGACTGATTGTAGCAGTAGGATGTGTTCTTTGCCCAGTACTAGTCTTGAATTCTAAAGTAGTTTAGTTTAGGGTCTACATAGTAAGTAAGATAATGTATGAAAGCTCTCTTAGAATTCTTAACTCTGAAACAGCTTTACATATTCAAATCTCCTCACAAAGATTGGTCCTCACGATGCCTCTATTACATACTTAGGGAAGCACCGTCCTCCCCACCCAATTTTACAGATAAGGTTAAATGGCTTGCCCCAAAATCACACAGGTCAGCAGCAAAGCCAGGATTAAAAAGCCTAGCTTCCTGTCTCTCAGCTCCATGATCAGTCCATTAGACCATGTTACCACTATAATTATATGTGCCCCTTTGGCCCCCAAAGCTTTTTACTATAGCAAGGTAATTAAGCTCTCCTTCTGGCTCTCCTCTTTTAATCAAATGGTGCACTTAACACAGCTTGGTATTTATTAACGATAATGAGTTTTTAAAACAATTTGAAGCAGCAGCTGACCTTTCTCTTGTGCGGCTATGGTGCATGTCTGGCATTGTTCTAAATTTAATGATGCCATGCATCTCAGGTCAGACTCGTTTTGAAGGAGGTATATAACACAATGACTCCATTTGCAGTCATTTCGGTCTGAACTCAGAACAGGCCCAGACTTGTGCTAACACAAACAGATGTGAGCTTCCTTCTCTGTCCGAGGTGATGATAGTGGTTTATTAATTGTGAGAACAAGGTCATGAGTTTACTTGTCTGTAGAATCTAAGTTAGCAACAGCATACCTGACAGACAAGCAAACACAAGCCTTCAGTGTCTGCACTCCTAGTGTTTCTTAACTTGGGGAAGCATAAATAAATCTTGAATTTAGAGAGCAAAATGGGGTTATATATTAGTATCTAAATTGCTTTAGCAGCATTGATTAAAGATCACAGAACCACAGGACATAGGATCAACTCCCTGTAGCAAAGAGATCATTGTACTGAAAATCACACTGACTGTGAGGAGCTGACTGAAAAGAAAGTTAAAATGAACTGAATGGGAATGAAAGGCACAAAAGAAATAAATCACTGGGAATATTAAAAAGCCTCAGGTTTTAGATGAAAACATCCTGGAAATGTCCTGATCTATAAAATACATTTTTGAGAAGCTCTCAGTTAACTAACAGTAGAAACTACAATACTATTTTTCCCCCTTAAAGGAGAGTCTATTTCTAGAGTGAAAAGATTCTTTCCCTCCTCAAACCACAAAATAAAAGCTTTGAACTTTTCTTTTTCCTTCCCTGGACTGGGATTCAGAATAAGGTCAGGATTCATTCTGAAGGAATAAGAACCTTTGGAAGCATAGCAGGAAATACTGTGAACTATTCAAATCCATTTGCATGTATGGGTTAGGGAAATGGTAATCAAACAAAGGAAGCCAAATACTTAGGGCAGGATGGGCAGAGGCAGCTGTTGTACTGACTTGGATACATAGAAAATTACACAAAAGGTCAGATTCTCAGCTTGGGCAAATTGGAGTAGCTTGACTGAAGCCAGTGGAATTTAATCCATTTACACCATTTGATCATTGGAGTCCAAAAGCCCCTGATATGTAGATGCACAAAGGCCACTGAGACAAAGCAATTCCAGCTGCTCCACTCCAGAGGAGATGCCAGAAGGGTAAAGGTCATGGTCACACAGTTACACAGGTGGGTAACAAGTTCCATTTCAATGGATCCAGCTCTAAGGCTGGCTTAACCTCTGTTCAAGGGAGAACAGTGAGTGGACCTGTACAATGGTAGAGCCACTGGGCAGGCCTCTGGGTCCCCACCCAGCAATGACAAGTAAGGGGTAATTGTTCACACAAATAGACCAGAACTCCCAAGTTATTGAGGCCAGTCCTGCACCATTCAAGCAAGAATCATATGTCAGAGAAAAGAAGAGAGAGTTTCTAATATGAGTACAGCAGTGGGTCCTGTGATTTATCATTAATTTTACCTAACCCTATAGACCTCACACAGGCAAAACTCCTCTGACAATAATGGGCACTATAACTGTGCCAAATGTGCCTCCTGATTGCAAGTAAGAACCCAGACTTAGTAGGGCTCACAGAAACCTGGTGGGACCCTACCTATGACTGGGCGGTGGGCATTCGGGGATACACCCTATAGAGAAGAGAGAGAACAGAGAGGAAAGGTGTGGGGGTTGCGCTCTATTTCAAAGAGCACCTCACATCATCAAGGATTAGCTTTGGGTTAGAGGAGGGTCGGGCAGAGACACTATGGGTCAAACTACAAGGGGGGCGTGGCGAAAGGGACCTTACAGTGGGTGTCTACTACAGACCACCCAGCCAGGGGGAAGAGCTGGACCAGGACTTCTCCAGTCAGCTTATGGAGGTGGTTAGGTTAAGGGATGTTATTGTCATGGGTGACCTAAACTACCCAGACATTTGCTGGGAGGAGCAGGCAGCCAGGTATGACCACTCACATAGGTTCCTGGCTGTGTTACAGGACCTTCACCTTATCCAGGAAGTGCACAGCCCCACTAGGGCTAACACCTTGCTGGATCTGGTCCTGGCCACGAGGGATGACCTGGTGAGGGGACTGCAGGTCCTTGACCACCTGGGCAATAGCGATCATCA